AGATAGAGTATCTCAAAGACAAGCAACTAAAAAACTTTATAAGCAGCCTTCTGACAACGGAAAAAAGCTTCGTTAATCCGACATTACAGCATTTGGATATCCTAGCAGGTTAAGAAATTACATAATGGGATTAAAATTGGACGGCTAAAGAATTTTGTAATCAGATGAAAAAGAGTATTAAAATATAACAATTGCGAAACTTAAAGCTACATTCTATTTCTAGTGTTCGTTCGGCAACCAACTCTTTTTTGAGTTCAAAATGTGCAGTAAAATTTTTGTTTTTTCTAATATTAAACATAATCAAAAAAATAATAATTATATTCAACATAAAGTAGCTTTAAAATAAAAAAATAAAAAACTTAAAGCTAATTTGTATTTGTGAATCTAATATTTCCTCTTAGATACGTTATTAAATGATTCGCCGCTTACAAATGTATGTACATTTTACTTCCGATGATAAAGCCACTAAGAGAGAGAGGTGGGGGTTTGCGTTCTCTTTATTTATAAAAGCTATATTAGTGTATTGCTAAGTTACTCTGGGTGAGATTACCGATCACAAAAGGTTTCTGAACACATTTCAGTTCAGTTCAGTTCAAAAACACATCGACCACATGGAGTAGTGTTCCGAGTCGATATTTCCCTAACAACCAAACAAACTTTTTCTGAAAGATTTGGGGCTTAGAAATTGTCTAATGACAAACATTTTAAAATTAAAATTAATTTAAAAAAGTTCCGCCAAAGAAAAAAAAAAGAGAACGTACGTGTGAGACGCTTTTATGCTTGTTCTCCCGGTACTCAGTAGGACATCTGGACCTTAGTGGTTGTTTCAAATTTACATATTTTAAATTTCTTCTGCACATGTCATCTACATCGACATCTACATAATTTCTCACGCCAACGCTTTCTTTTAGCTCGCCTCCCTCACCAAGAGCTGCACACTACACGAAGCAGACTGTGGGATGAGAGGGGTGGACGGGGTGGGCTTAGCCACTGCAAATTAATTTCTTATATATTCATCTTCAATAATGATCCAATCGGATATCAATTCGGTCATCTCATAGATATAGCCCTTCCCTAAGGACTGGCGTTTTTAGTTTTCTTTTATCTTCAAAATTGTGGCTGTGGGAGACATTCGCCTTTTGTGGGGGTGGAGGGAGGCGTGGCGAAATTATGAAATACATGTGTAACAGTGTGGGCATACAGCCATCTGGATGCAACATTTGATGGCTCTAGCTTTTATAGTCTCTGAGATCCAGGCGCTCAACAAGACGGACGGACAGACAGACATGCCTCTATCGACTCGGCTATTGATGCTGATCAAGAATATATATACTTTATGTCGGAAACGTGTCCTTCTCTTTCACTTTTGTACACAAATACAATATACCCTATTTACTCTTCGGGTACCGGGTACTATAAATCATTAAAAAATCTAGAAGAAAAATCGGTTTGGTTCAATGAGGAAAAGAGTTGGATTTTATCGAGGAGCTTAATAGATTAAACTACTCAGAACAATGTTTCTCACGCCCGTTGCTTTATTTTCCAATGCTAAGTATATTAATACTATGAAAATATAATGCTACTTCTGTGTTTGGAAATCTATGCATCTGCTTATTGATCTCTCGATAGAATCTTTTGCAAATGAGTTGGCAATGTAGTTATTTTAGTTAAGTATTTTAAGCAATTTGCTATCCATTGTGGCTTGACGCTGGTTATTGCAATGACGAGCAGTCGAAACATTTGGGAAGCGGAGTCACGGGAAAAAACGAAAAACATATGAACAAAAGTGAAAAGCCCACTTTTGCCTCCACAGATGAAGAACAAATTGTAAATGTAATATTAGAAACAAAAAACATAATGTTACGTACTTATATGTATGTACATGTGTATCACACTAAGGTTACGCACATATGTACATATGACTATAAATACACCGGGTATAAAAGTGTGACCCGTACGAAGAGTCTCAAAAACGTCCCTACTCGTTTTTAAGTCGGGAATGAAAAAAAATAAAAGGTTATTTAATTAATGCGCTTTCAGGGGTAGCGTTTCTTTTTTTCACATAACTTAAGTATCTTACATCTTGTTGTTATAAACCTTACCACTTTGAAAAGCTGATATGTGCATATGAAGTGGACTTGAACATTTTCGAACTTTTTCATATCGAAATATATAATTAATCGGCTTAGCTGATATTGTTAGACCTACTAGCAATATCCTTGACGACATTCATTTTCATACCCGGTACTCGAAGAGCAAATAGGGTATATTGCATTTTTGTGGGGAATAGCGCATGTGTGTTTCCGACCCCACAAAGAATAAATATTCTTGATCAGCATCAATAGCAGAGTCGATAGAGCCATGCCCGTCTGTCCGTACGTCTGTGCGTCCCTCTGTGCGTCCGTCGGTCTGTCCGTCCTTATGAGCGCCTAGTACTCAGAGACCATAAGAGATAGGGCAACCAAGTTTTGCATCCAGACTTCTGTATGCTCACACTGTTACAAGTGTATTTAAAAAATGAGCCACTATATCAGCTATATCTATCAGATCACCGAATTGGGATCCGATTGGATCATTATTATAGCCAGAGTGAAGAATTAATTTGCAGTGGCTAAACCCACCCCGTCCCGCAGTTTATTTTTGTTTTTTTGCACATTCTCTCATCCACTGTCTGAGCTAAAAGCCGTGTTGGCGTGGAAAGTGAAAAACACTACAAGGCACAGTTTTACCACTGAGTACCGGGTACAAAAGTTGTGACGCGTTCTTACGCTCCCTTCTTTTTATTCATCATTCCTTTCATCGTTTTCATCTCGTGCAGCGCATATGTCGCGGAGACTATTAAATCTGAATAGGATTGGATTTGTTTCAAAAATTCGACATAAAATTATAAAAAAATATTGTGCCGAGGTTTTTTCAAAATATGACATGTCAAATTCTTACTCTAAGCTGGTTTAAATGCATCCCCTAAAAAACTATTACATATAGGGAAATGTACATATTTATCATAAATAATCCAAAAAATGTTGAAGGAGGCAAAGCGCTAGTTCCGCATATTCAAAGTTTCCATGGATACGCGTATTGTTCATATAAAAACCGTTGTAATTAGACAAAGTAAACTCAATTATCCGCGCATTTCATTCACAAACGTTAATCGTCAAGCAATTTAACCCAATTAAATATGCATGATGTTGTACGTGTAAACAAAAGGCCATCACTGGCACCAGCGCAACTTCAGCACGGCACTTGGAACGGCAGTGGCATGGCAGCCTATGTCCTGTGTAATGACTCCCTGCTCCGCCCTCAAACAGAACACCTATTATTTGCCTGTTGACAGCAACCACTCAAGCGAATTATTGCCAACTCATCAGTGGGTATTTTAGTCTTTATCTACCCCAGTATCTGTATTTGTATTCGTACTCGTCAAAGGGCATATGCTTTCATGATTCAACCCTCAGGCCCAGACCCAAGCATAGACCCAGACCTAAGCATAATCGTTTTCGATTTCAATAGGCCATCGTGCATGTAAAATCGAGAGATTGTATAACGACCGAGGAGTGTGCTCATTTTTTACCCAAACTTTGAAATATAAGAACTGGCTGAATAGACAATGGAAAACACAAGTGTTAGTGTTTTTTTGAGGCACGTCCACGCCACCCGTATAAACAAAGCACTCAATTTAATTGGAGATAATTGAATTTGTATAGCCATATTTTGCATATTTTGATGTTACTATTTTAATTGGGCAGAGTGTTGTGGGAGCAGTCAGTACTCGTATGCTTGCACGCCTTGCAACAGGTAATAATAGGTAACACTAACATAAAAGAGCAACAACTTAAGTTTATATTTCGAATTTAACTTAATTTATGTTTATATTTTGACTTGTGTCAAAATAACTGTAGGCTTACATTTCCGTATAAACATAGTCGTAGTTGAGCTGATGATTATGAACAACCCTATGGAAAATTCAATTGCCTCAGGGAAACATCATCATCCCACCCCGCTTATCTAGGTACATCTGCCAGATTGTTAACAATCTGCTGTTTTTCTAAATACTAACATAATTTTGTCATTACTTACCTCACTGGTTTGTAATTCGTTCAACCCTCTGGTCTTCTAGTGGGTGACTGGGGTTCGGTTCTAGATATACCAATTCCTCTCCCTTCTCGATTTAAGGAGTCTTGTTGTAATCATTTGTTTCGCCTTTCGTTAGCGATTTAAGCGTGGGTATGTAATAACAATGGCATTAAGCTTAACAATCTGTACATTTTTAGCTAACCTTATTATCTTTAACGAATGTACTCTAGGGACCAGTCTCTTTTTCAATTATGCCATTCACACGCATTCTATAATTGAATGAGGGATTTTTGGCACAAGGGATGCGATGTGCAACCTTCTGAATTTTTTATATGAAACAAATTTATAACAAAAATTGTTATTAGGACCATTTCTGAACAGAATCTTTTCAATTCCTCAGCTAATATGTACGTACATATGTATGTGCACCATATTTTGTACATAGCAGCACAAAAAAAAGACTAATGTAATATACAATTCGGTACTCCTCTCTCCCTATATATGAACATACATACATATTTGATATACCAATACCAATATACCAATTTAAACCAAATATTATTATTTATGATATTTTATTATCATGATATATTTATGCAATATTTACATATATTTATATATTATTATACACATTGATATTCCCCGCGCAAACGTCATACATATGTAAAAATTAGTGTGTACATAAATGCATATGTAAATATGTATGTACACTTGTTTGGTGGCTATAGCTTTTATGGGCTCTGAGTACTAGGCGCTCATCGGGATGGACAGACGGACAGACTTACATGACTGTATCGACTCGACTTAAAAAAGCTAATGACTACTTTACAAATATTTGATAAAACTTGCTCAATATTTAAAGACTAAGTCGATAAATAATACTAACTTGAAGCTTTATTCAATGTGAACTTTTTTTTTAGTTTTTTAGTAAATGGCGTTTCCGGAAACCGTACAAAAAACTGAAGTATCATCGAATCCACCCAATGGAATGGAAAACAGTCTGACATCTCAAAGGTCAAATCATGTACGTAATTCCGACCCTTTTCAACCACCAAGGTATTGTATATGTTCGGGCAGAAGGAACTAAAAATGTTTTACATTTCTTGTATTGGAATAATTATATTGTCATTATACCATATGTAACTTGTGGAGACTTATGTACATATGTATTAGTGAAAAAGTAAAAATTCATCAGATACAAAACTATTTTGGCGAATCGTCTTGAAACAACTTATATCGTTTGATAAGACTAGGACATTCATTTTGTCATTCTGTCTTTAATAATAATATAATCTAATTATTCGGCGATCAGATAGACGTGACCATTATCCACGAAACTGCGTTTTTAGTTTACTCCTATCTTCCAAATTGTGAATCTATCAGATTTTCTAAAGTTTGAAAAACAAAATTAATTCAGTGTGATATTACCTGAGTCTTCACACAACATTTGGTGACTTATGGTCTCTGAGAAACAGGCGTCAAAAAAGACGGACGGACAGACACACAGACAGACATAGACTCGGCCATTGATGCTGATCAAGAATATATATATACTTTATGGGGTCGGAAACGTTTCCTGTTACATCATCCACTTTTGTGCACAAATACAATACATCCTATTTACTCTTCGAGTACCGGGTATACAAATTATTGGAAAACCAATTTTTTTGTATCTAATATTTCTTTAACTCGCAACTCCAATGACTTAAATATATGGAAATTGTACCATATTATTTTTTTTCGAATTTTACATTTGACCTTTTACATTTTTTTTACACCTGTCGTCTACATCTACATAACTGTTGGCATGAGAAGTTATGTAAATGTAGATGACAGGTGTAGAAAAAATGTTAAAAACGCTATTTTCGCTCGACCCCCTCCCCTAGAGCCGCACACTTCAGATCCACGGCAGTGGCAGGACTCGGCAGTGGCACAGGCCGCACTTTGCAGAAGCAGAGTGTGAATGAGAGAATGTTAAAAACACACCATAAGCTGCGGGACAGGGTGGGCTTAGCCACTGCAAATTAATTTCTTCACTGTGGCTATAATAATAATCCAATCGGATCCCGATTCGGTAATCTGATAGATATGGTNATGTGTATTATTTTTTGTGGTGTGTTTTTTTTTTTTTTTTTTTTTTTTTGTTGGGTTGTGTGGGGGGGGTGTGGTTGTTGGGGGGGGGGGGGGGGGGGGGGGGGGGGGGGCCTAAGTTTTGAAATACACTTGAAACAGTGAGAGCATACAGCCAATGATTCCATAAGTCGAACAATTTTTAAACGGCTTGGATACAATGAATATACGCATCTCATAGAGAATTTTCCAAAATCCAAAAATCCGTTTCATACAAATTGTCATCCATTCCATATTGTTTTCGAGAGGAAGCGTCATTTTAATCGATATAAAAACCAAACGGCTCCAGAGCGCAAAATGAGATTTTACATATGTACATATATGTAGGTACATCGGTAAAGGAACGTGCAAAGATAATTTAAAAAAAAAGCACGTGATTTTACTTGTTATACCCGGTACTCGAAGAGTAAATAGGGTATATTGTATTTGTGCGAATAACGGTTATATGTAACGCACAGAAGGAAGCCTTTCCGACCCAATAAAGTATATATATTCTTGATCAGCATCAATAGCCGAGTCGATAGAGCCATGTCTATCTGTCCGTCTGTCCGCCTTGTCGGCTAGTTCTCAGAGACTATAAGATTTAGAGCCACAAAATTTTTGCTGCAGACTGCTGTATGCTCACATTGAATGCAGTGTATTTCAAAAATGAGACACGCCCCCATCCGCCCCCGCAAAAGAGCGAAAACCCCACAAACCTACAATTTTGAAAATAAAAGAAAACTAAAAACGCCATTCCGTAGGGAATGGCCATATCTATCAGATCGTCAAATTGGGATCCGATTGGATCATTATTATAGCCACAATGGAGAAGTTCATTTCCAGTGGCTATACCCTCCCTGTCCCGCAGCTTTTGTTGTTCTTTTCACATTCTCTCATTCACACTCTGCTTCGGCTTCACTCGGCCTCTGCCTCTGCCGTCCCTCTGCTTCTGCCTCTGCCGACTTTTAACCCACCCCGTCCAGCAGCTTATATTTGTTTTTTTTTTGTGTGCGGGCGCTGCTTCTGCCTATGCCGCGAGCCTGCAGTGTGTGGGGCTAGGGAAGGGCTGCAAGCTAATGGAGCGTGTTGGCGTAAAAAGTGTTGTAGATGTAAATGACAAATGAAGAAAAAATTTAAAATTTGACAAATACCGCTAAGGTAAAGATGTGCCGGGTATAAAAGTTGTGACGCGTAAGAAGCGTCTCACACGTCTCTTCTCGTTTTGTGAATCAATAGCTGTGCAGAAATCGATTGGAAATTTTATGCAGCCATTATATTATTTTCATTGATAGCAACTTTGCCATAACTGTTTTGCAAATGTTTCATCCGTACACTTATCCATTGGATTTTATAATATATAAATATATTTTATACCCGGTACTCGAAGAGTAAATAGGGTATATTGTATTTGTGCACAAAGTGAATGTATGTAACACACAGAAGGAAACGTTTCCGACCCCATAAAGTATATATATTCTTGATCAGCACCAATAGCCGAGTCGATTGAGCCATGTCTGTTTGTCCGCCCGTCTTTATTTTTTTGAGCCGTGTTTCAACTTTATTTAAGATCTGTCTTTTGCAGACAATTATTAAATTTCCTCTTCTGGGTACTTGGCAATTTTATTTCAGTTATCTTATCGGTTGTTGAGTCCGAAAATGTAATTATCATTTTACTAGCATTTGAACCACTGACGCTTGTTCGGTTCGGTTATGGCAGCCAGATTAGAATTTAACGCTCAGCACCATGGCTTGTACCGATTTTATATGGAAAGGAATTGTATTGTTGATCATTTGTAGCAGTATTGTTGACTATTTCTGTGGCTCCGAAAGATGTGATTTGGATTCATGACTTGAATTTTCTAATGGACTTCAGGAAGACGTTTAAATCTGGATCCGTGCCGAGGAGCAAGCTATTCAATGGTTCCAGTGATTTCTCATTTTCACGTAGTTTCACTTTTCCTGATGCGCAACTCAGATCATTTGACTTATATTGTACTTATATTTGAGCGAGCTACAATTGGTATACTCATTCTTGGTCCGTGGCACCAATCAAAACATTTTGATAAGCGTAATATTCAACATCTGGCTCGTATTGGCATGCGAGATGTATGCGAATAATGACGAAAAATACTTTACATCCAAATTGTAGACCTACAACCTTTAGACACCTTTAGTGACACGAGAATTTTATATTATTTAATAATACTTTTATTTAATTCATAATTAAAAACGATCTAATAAAGCACTAATGATAAAAATAAATACTAGCGATAATTAGGGAAAAAACATAAAATAACAACAACAAAAATAAAGGGTAGATATAACATGTAAGAACTGCCAGATTATATAAATCTTAAAACGACTTTAGATTATTTTAGATTCACACTGAATTGTCTGCTGCCACAAAACGAAGAATTTTGAAGTTTTCTTTTACTAAAAGAAACACAAAGCAAACAAATGATTCCCTTGTGGTATCATTAGATACGTGCTTTAATTTTTTTCTGTTTTTTCATGGCCTATAAAGATTGGGAGCGCCAAAGCAGCAGTGCAAAACTTTGTTGAGTTCATAATAAGATTTTGTTTTTAACAGGATGATGAATGCGAAGTAGACATGGCTGAGACATGGTAAGCGTAACAAGAATATAAATTGTTTTTAACTTGGGTTGGTTGGGAGTATGTGTTTCTATGTATGTATATGCATAATACATACAATAACAAATACATCGATTTCATCTCAATACAAACAATACAAATCCAGAAGCCATAATTAAACTAATATTTAGACTCCTACGTAGGTGTTATGTGTCGCACAGCTAGTCGTCAGGTAAAAATTTTTTTTTTTAATATTCCAGAAAAAAGAAAAAAAAAAATGGTTTTTCTCTCTTTTTTTATTTAAAATCTGTTTAAACAATAAGTAAATTGTATAATTAATATTAAATTAACAGAAATCGCAGGTTTCCTATTATATATAACATATTTTCAGTTTGTTGGATTTATCTATCGGGGAGATCGAGAATGTGGTATCTTTTCAGTCTTCTTACTGTTAAGCTATTGTCTAATAGACTTAAGGCTAAATTATTTTCGTGGTTGTGGAGTCTGTCTCTTTATCTGTTTCTGTTTCTTTATTTCTTCTTTAATGGTTGGAATATTAAGACCTTTGTGGATATTTGCATTAGATAAATTGATTTGTGGAGGCAAGTTTTGTTTTCCAAAGTGGTTTCTGATTTTCGACAAGGACATTTTTAGTGTTTTAAGTCTGAGTTGTTGACATTTTGCTTTAATGTGGTTTTTCCATGTTAATCTGCGGTCGAGATGCAAGCCGAGATACTTCACACAGGTCCTTTGTGGAATTGGTGAGCCGTTAAGTGTTACATTTGGGCAGTTACCTGGTCTTAATGAAAACGTTATTTGGACGGATTTCAGGGAGTTTATTCTAATTTTCCATTGAAGGAACCAGTCTTCAATTAGGCTTAGCTCACTCTGCAGGAGTTCGGAAGCTTCATTTAGAGATCTGATTGTGGCTAAAACGGCTGTATCATCAGCATATGTTGCAACAGTGCAGTTCTTTGTAACTGGCATGTCGGCCGTATATAGGGTGTAGAGAATTGGTCCCAGTACGCTTCCTTGTGAGACGCCTGCGTTGATGAGAAGTAGTAATGAAGTATCGTTTTTCTGCTGTACGTAAAAGCATCTTTTAACCTGATATACAAATTATTATTAATAAATAATAATAAATAGTACGGAGCAGGTAGCCATTTCTTTATCTTGTACAACAAACCTTTGTGCCAGACTCGATCGAACGCTTGTTGAACATCAAGAAATATTTTTTGTTTTCCAATACCGAGACTTAATGATATTAATAACCCTGTGACATTGCTTAGGGGTCCCGTGACCTCTCCTGAATCCGAATTGGTATTCAGGAATGATGGAAAGTTCGTCCAAAATTTGCAACATTCTCTTCAATAGTATTTTTTCAAACACTTTCGAGAATATTGTCAACAGACTAATGGGACGGTATGATGTCAATTCCGTTTCTATTTTGTTTGGCTTTAGGATGATCTCTGCGCATTTCCATTGACTTGGAAAGTGGTCTAGTCTGAGAATCGCGTTAAATACATGAGTGATAATCCGAATGCATTTTGGTGGTACAATTTTTAGGGTGATGCCGTCTATTTTATCAGGGCCTGGTGCTTTTTTATTGTTCAAACATTTGATTTCTGTCACAACTTCTTCATATTTGATGTTTTTAATAGGCAAGCTCATTTGGCAGGGTGACTCAAGGAATGTTTCTACTTCAGTCTCTGTTATATAATTATTTATATCGTTTGGCTGAAACACAGAATGCATATGTTGAGCAAATGCTTCCAATTTCCGTTGCTTTTGCGAATATTTATGTTTCTTTTAGCTGGTTTCTTCAGGTATTTAGTTGTATTCATTGTTGCTGGAATTAGCGTCTAAGTTTCTCAGATACGCAGCTAGAGATTCATTGCGTAAGTACGAAAGCAGTTGTCCAAGCTCAGATGCAGCCTTGTTGTACAATCTATTGTCAGCAGGGTAGTGAGTTTCTTGCCAGCGTTTTCGCAGATTCCTTTTATTTTGTATTTTTTGTCGAAGTTCGGTTGAAAGGTACAATTGATTTGCTTTTTGATGATTAAGAGCATGATTCGTGTTCTGTAGCTCGCATTATGAATTATTTGTTTATTTGTGAATAGCTCCACAGCATAGTCTATCTCCTCTCCTGTTTTTAACGAAATGTCCAGGTTTATAGCTGAGTCTAAATAGCTTTTAAATGCGTTAATTTCTGTAGAGGCTGTTATGACTTTATAGGGCTGTTCCAACATATGGCCTTTTGTGCTGTATTATTGGAGGATGATCTGAGTTAAGGTCAAAACTCTCCATTACTTGCATGTGTGATTGTGGGATTCCAGAGAATACTACGAAATATAAAATCTGGAATTTTTCAATGAGCCGTTTGTTCGAATACAATTTTAAATTTAAGACCCAATACAATACAATAACACAAATATGTGATAATTATTTTATAATAAAAATATAAAACGTTTAATTTTAATTTTAAAATCGTAACAACATAAGGAGATATAAATTGTTTCTCAAGTAAATATATGTATTTCGCACTTCCTGTTCCACTTTTAGATTAAATACCACCCCTAAACCGCAATAATCAAATTATTCCATTAATCCACGTTTTAATACATTTCGCTTAATAGCGGAACTACTGAATCACTTGTGGAAGTATTTATTTGTATCTTTGTCCCACAAAATATTGAAAATATATATTTGGACACACTATTTCCTTGAATACGAGATATTTGACATTCATTTAAAGGCCCTTATACGGCTGATTCAAAAAATCACATCAAATCACTTAAGTTAGGTTAGGTTTGCTGCTCGACCGAAGTTGAGGTCACTCGGAGGCAGATCTGCAAATTGTAAGTCCTTAGATCTCCACAACTATGTCCTCAAACAAACAATAATTTCAAAGAAATTTCAAATGAAATGACATGAAAATATTTGTTCCTAGAAATAAGCTTTCCCCATGTGTATGCCCGACTATATAAACGTATCTTTTGATGCTGATCTAGAAGTCAATATTTAGGTACTATACCTAAAGAATACGAATACCTTCTATCCGTTACTGACGATTACTTGTCCACAATTAATATATCCTTATTATTTTCAGGTTAGCTCGGTTCTGCTCTATGGAATACCAATTGTGTCTTTGTACATTGAGGGGCAGGAGCGACTCTGCCTTGCGCAAATCTCAAATACTCTTCTAAAGCAATTTAGCTACAATGAAATACATAATAGACGTGTGGCGCTTGGCATAACCTGCGTGCAATGTACACCAGTACAATTGGAGATTCTGAGAAGAGCAGGTGCCATGCCGGTAAGTTCTCGGCGATGCGGAATGATAACTAGAAGAGAAGCTGAGCGTCTTTGTAAGAGTTTCTTGGGCGACAACTCACCACCTCGATTGCCAGACGACTTTGCATTTAATGTTCAGCACAAGTGTGCATGGGGCTGTCGTGGATCATTTTTACCATCTCGATATAACTCTTCACGAGCCAAATGCATCAAATGTGCATTCTGTGGAATGTTCTTCTCGCCGAATAAATTCATTTTCCATTCACATCGCATCACAACAAACGACAGGTATGTTCAGCCCGATGCTGCCAACTTTAACTCCTGGCGACGGCATATGACACTTTGTGGAAGCTCACACGATGAAAAAATTATCTACGCATGGGAAGATGTCAAGGCAATGTTTAATGGTGGCACCAGAAAAAGACTCGTTAGTGGCAATAGTAATGTTAGTCGCAATCGAAATCAAAGCTCACCAACGTCATCGTCAGCTTCTGCACTAGTCGGAGGAAGTTTGTGTGGCTCACTAACTGACTGCGAGTCAGTTGCTAAAGACACAGCATGTAAGGAACAGTCCCCATTATCCAAGCGGGCCGTCGACCACCAATACAATTACAGTACCGTGACTGCAGCCGCCGCTGTGGTCGGAGTTACGGCTGTAGCAGCTGCTACGGTTGGAGTACCTTTTAATTTACATCACTCTTCGGTCCTTTCACCTATTCACTCGCTTCGCAACGACCACGATCTTTCGATAATGCCCCTTTCTAGAAATTTTGTTGTGGACTATATGTGGCAGCAACAGGATGCAAATCATCAGCAACAGCATTCGAAAATCTGTGGCACAGACCCGAGTGAATCGGTCCTTGACTTCGAATCATGTCCAATGCCATGGGCTAGGCCAGAAACGAGCATTCCTTCAACGACAGCCAGTGCCGTTCGCTTGGGGGAGCGAGAGCGTGTAAAAAACGAAGCGGCGTCTACTTCTATATGTGGCATTATCAAAAATCGTAAGCTATCTGATGTCGCCAGCAGTGGTTTAACGTTTTCTGATTATAACATTCCATCTATATTAAGTTGCTCTGCATTTAAACCAGTTGTTGCTTCAGCAGCAATTGTATCCACATCATTATACACTAGGTCTAGCGACTCGAATAGAAACGTTTACATTACCCCAACTCAAACGGCCCGAACAACAACTGTTCTAACGCATAACAGTATTACAACTGCCTCGCATCGCTTACCAACAGGGGAAGGGTTTTCACCAATATTAGACACTATTCAATCCAGTATCGAAAGTGAGCGAATCAATTTTTCGACTTCAGTATCGACTCACAACAAGAACAGTTCGAATAAATCAATATCATCAGAGTCTGCTTACGGAATAGGAAAAAACGTATATGATGACGACGACGATGACGAGGTTGTGGATATCGAAACAACGGAAGACGAAGTTGTTAATCAGCCCACCAAACAGTGTGCACATTCACCAGTTGATGTATCATCTGAAAGTGAAAGTTCAACTCATTCTCAGCCTGCGAGTACAAATATTGATGCAGATGCTGATGCTGATGTGGATGTGGATGGTATTACAACGGATGCCGAAGATCAACTTGAGTTTAAATCTAATGTTTGCTTGCTCGACAACACAAACCGCTCTAAATCAAACCAAATTGGAAAAATAAAAGTGGGTGTCACTTCCATGAATGCAGAACCAGAAATGTGCAAGGACGACTATAAATATAATGAGGTATGAAGAATATTTAATACTATCATTTTTATTTATGCTGATAGTAATAGCGAATCTGAAAAATTGTATTACAAAATATGCACAAACCTTCTTTCAAATTCAATGCAACGATTAATCCGCCAACTGTAAAAAATTCAAATGTTATTTAACAGACTTTCTTACACTTAAGCTCAGCAGGTCAAACAAACATAGTTTACTGAGTGTCGTGATTTTGGTATTACTCAACTTCCGTGCAAATCTTCTCCAGATGAATCTTCTCTTTGTTTTAAATAGAGGAGACTTTTTCTTTAGTTGGAGACCTATAAACAAGAAAAACCACAACCTCTCCCTCGACTTAACTGGGGGATACCTCTTCCCATATATTTATACTCCCTTTTTTATTTTAGGAGACGAAAGGATTCAATGGTCATTTAAGAATTTTTACTCGAGGGAAGAGCTTTAAGCAACAGCCTGATCGAAGTGTTTCAAAAAAGACAACCACTACATTTTCGAAAAAGAAATTTTACTCGAAGTCACTGGCTATTAAATCTGCTCAACCACAAGTACAGCACAGAGTTTCCTTCCCAGTATTCTTTAAGTCGCAAGTAAACCCTTTCAATGAGCATCATCCACTACCAACAACGTTAAGCCCCAACTCCCTTTCGGACTCATCAAATTGGAGCTATCCAATTGGTAACATTCGGCAACTATATTGTTATGAAAGAAGCGCAACAGCCAATGAAAATTGTATTGATTTTAAGTAAGCGCAACAAAATAAAAGAGTACATCACATTAAAATGTGTCGTGTTTCATTTAATGCATTCAAAGGTAAGGGTGTTTTCGGAACTTCACGTTGTATTCAATCAACATAATATTATATATGTACATATATACATATTTTATGTACATACTCTCGGACAAGCCCACTGCAAATTCCTTCGTAAGCCGAAATTTTGAAACACACTTGTAAAAGTGTGGTACCACAGCAATCTTGATGCAAAATTTGTTTGCTGTTTGTTTGTTTGTTTGTTTGCTCTGACCACAAATACCCTATTAACTCTTCGAGAACAGGGTATAAACATGAAAATATAAGTTAAGAGCTATGTTTGGAGCAGCAGCAAATATATAATTATTAAGATCAGCTCTCCTTGTTTATATTTACACTCTCTTTGTATAATATGCTATATTATATTAATATGCCATTGTCGCGCTGATCGCTCCCTCTCAAAGTGCATAGAAGCGCACGCATATTTATATTTATTCACCCTTCGTACTGCTTATATTGCAGTGCTTTGCCCTTTTCTGTTTACCAGTCTAAAATATTGTCGAACGCCGCGCATCTCCGAGCAGTCCACTTATTTATACATATGTCCAACGCGAACCCGTTACTGTAATCTAAACGCACCGAATCGTAGTTCACGGCCACGCACATTTGAATTGTACAAAAACGTAGAATAATAAAAAAAAATATCAAAGACTAAATACGGATAATAATTGTCGTAAATATGGAGTCAGAGTTGCCGAAAAAGTTGTTTTTATACGCGGTACTCGAAGAGTAAATAGGTTATATTGTATTTTGTGCGAATAACGGATGTATGTAACGCACAGTTACACAGTTACGTTTCCGACCCCATAAAGTATATATATTCTTTATCAGCCATGTCTGTCCGTCCGTCTTGATAAGCGCCTGGATCTCAGGGAATATAAAAGCTAGAGCCACCAAATTTTGGCTCCAGACTGCTGTATGCTCACACTTAAACCATTGTATTTCAAAAATTAGCACCGCCCCCTGCCCTGCAAAATGGCGAAACCCTCCCAAATCTACAATTTTGAAGATAATTGAAAACTAAAAACGCCTTCTGACCATATCTATCAGATCACCAAATTAGAATCCGATTGGATCATTATTATGGCCACAATGAAGAAATTAATTTGCAGTGGCTAAACCCACCCCGTCCCGCAGCTTATATTTGTTTTGCACATTATCTCATTCAGACTCTGCTTCTGCATTATGCGGCCTCTGCCTCTGCCGCCCCTCTGCCACTGCCTCTGCAGATTTTTAACCCACCCCGTCCCACAACTTTTATTTGTTTTTTTTTTTTGTGTGCGGGCGCTGCCTCTGCCGTGAGTTTGAAGTGTGTAGGTCTAGGGAAGGCCGGGCGAGCTAACGGAGCGTGTTGGCGTGAGAAGTGCTGTAGATGCAGATGACAGATGAGAAAAAAAAATTTAAAATTTGAAATATAACCGCTAAGGTACAAATACAATATACCCTATTTACTCTTCGAGTACTGGGTATAAAAACCGCTAAGGTACAGATACTAAGGTAGTACTGAGTACCGGATATAAAAGCTGTGACGCGTAGGAAGCGTCTCACACGTCCCTTCTTGTTTATTTTCAATTTTATATTAAGGAAGTAAGTATTTATGTCATATCTGAAATGTGGGGATTGGCAAACGAGCTAAGCGAATTTGCAGTGGGCTTGTCGGCTTGTATGTACCGGGTATAAAAATTGTGACGCTTTCCAGCGTCTTATAACATTCCGCCTCGTTTAAATGTATTTTTTTTTCTCCGTACGAAGTCATTCGCCAGCATACACTCGACAAAATCCAATTTTTTTTCCGCTTCGAACCAAACCAACTTTTTTTGATAGACTCTACATTTTTTAAACAATTATGGTTTTTATTTTAGGCCAGAACTTTTTTTTAAAGAATTTTTAAGGTCTGGTATTTTTTTTTAACCGTGTTTTAGAGGTAGTTCTAAACGTAAGTAACGTAAGTATCTTACGTCTGGTTGTATTGAACTTAGCCAGCTGATGAATGCATCTATAAAGTGTACGTAAACAATTTGTGGTTTAGCTTATAGTTTGAAAAATATTAAATTTTGTTTCTCTCTCTCTTTATATTTACAATCTGTTTGTTTAAACAATAAGTAAATTGTATAATTAAACTTTGAAATGCGAAAATGTTGATTTTTGTGAAGTATTTTTTGTTGTTGAAATTTTGACTTAAAAAACTCGGGAAAGTCATGTGTCCACTTTTTTTTTTGTGCGTCGTTTAAGATATTGCTCATTAAAATCAATGGAGAGACGCCCGAGCTAAAAATTCTCGATCAGTCCTAAAACCCCTATTTTTTCGTATATACCGACATAATTTTTTTTTTTTTTTAATTTCAGTATTTGTCGTACTTCAGTACTTCGTTCAGTACTGCGATATGATATACTCTGGCAGTTTGGCGCGCAACCCTCCAAAACGTAATTTTTTTGGAGGGTTCATTTCTTTCCTTAATTTCTTTGGGTTTTGTTAACCAATTTCCACTTTTTAGCTGCATCAGTCAGCTTTTTAGATAAACAAAGTTCTTTACAACCATATCTAAAAAACTTAATTTATGTGAAAAAACAAAATGCTACCTCTAAAAAATTATAACATATTTTAAAGATTCGTAAAAAAAAGGTATGCTATAGAAAAAAAAATAACATTGTCATCAGACCATTTTTAAGCCAAATATATTTAATGAAAAGGGCTCCTTGAGGAAAAATCATGTTGGGTAGTGTAATTGTTTGGCGACCTATTTAAAAATTAACATAACATAAACATTCACATTAAACAGTCAAAAGTGTTCTTTAACAGCAAATTAGTTATATGAAAACAAGGTGAAATTAAAAAAAAAATACACTTGCAATATCTGTGCTGCCCGTTTAAACTCTAAAGTTTTAATAACATTAATACATTTTTAGGGACAAGATCGCAACAAATCGCTTGCAAATTGCAGGCAAGTCTAAACTCCTTGGAAGAACTGTGCTGCTGCTTCTACATTTTACTACATTTTACATTTACTTAAAACACCCTAACCCTACGTAACATTCCAATGACATTTTTTTTTGTTGAACATTTTAGTTGTAACATATTTTGCAGTCAATCCAATAAGAGGAAGTTATGAAAGTGAAGTAATAAACTAATCTCCATAAAAATAAATAAAAAACGAGAAGGGACATGTGAGACGCTTCTTACGCGTCACAACTTTTATACCCGGCACTCAGTACCACATCTACACCTTAGCGGTGTTTTGTCAAATTTTAAATTTTTTCATCATCTGTCATGTACATCTACAACACTTCTCACACCAACACGCTCCGTTAGCTCACCGCCGTTCCCTAGACCCACACACTGCAGACTCGCGGCAGAGGCAGCAGAAGCAGATTGTGAATGAGACAATTTGAAAAAAACAACAAAAGCTGCGGGACAAGGTGGGTGTAGCCATTGCAAATTAATTTCTTTATTTTGGCTATAATAATAGTCCAATCGGATCCGACTATGCAAGAATACATACAGGATGATTTGTCTTAATGGCATTCTTTAATGGCATTCATTATAAAATTACTACGTGTAATCGGGAAAAAAAAATCTGGATTACCCCATGCATACATTTTTATTTAGTTAGTCGACAACATACGCCCTTAGAAAATAGATGGTGTATTTTCAGCGGACATTCCAGATACATACATATATCCAAAATATCGAACAAGGAATATGACATATTACAGAACCTGGAGTAGATCAGCTCTTTATTATAGGCAGAATGTAGAAATTAGACTAGTAGTGACTATCCCCACCACCTCCAGCACGGCCAGTTGCTAAAACCTGAGAAAGTCAACTCGCAACTTTTTTAGATTTGCGATAGCCGGCAATGGTTCGCCTCTAGAAATATTTTAAATCAAACATTTGTAATTTTTTAAATTGAAAAATACGAGAAGCCAATTGAAATTTTAAACAGAGCTTCTTAAATTTCTATGTCAGTTTGGTAGAAGACAGATGTGGATCGGAAATATAGATAGATATAAATAAATTCATTTTTTATGTATATTCTAATTTGCACCTAACAGAATCCCAATGGCAGTTTTAAAACAATACAATCGCCATGGCACTGGTTACAATTTGTTAGATGGTGTCAATGTAAATATATGCCTCAAAAATTTTAAGAGTACCCACCCTTCTTCCGAGATTGCCAATTTTCTTAGTCAGGCACAATAAGTCTTCGTTTCTTTCCCATGTTCCTAAATCCAAGACAAGTAATGGGATTCCAATCTTTTATCGATCATTTTCACGACGTCCACTAAGTCCATCTATAGTTTGTCGTGATTTTCCAAAAAAATCAGCTAATTCTGGAGAATATTTATTTAAATTAATCGGTTCAAATCGATCATATGTCACTGTGTGTATTTTTCTTGTTTTTATTAAACTTTTAATATTGTATTGTATTCTATTATTCAAAAACAGGCTTGTTGCATAGTAGGCAGATGCTTCTAACTTATGTGCATACATGAGTATGTATATATGTATGTATATACGTATATGCATTTTTGTTCGCTGGGATACATAAGCGCGTTTTTGTAATTATATAGTACTCTTGTGGTTTTGAAAGTAATGCGGATAGCGTTTTTCAAAAGAAAATCAGTAATTTAGATAGTATAACCTGATAAAAATACGACTAATCGTTATCGTAAAAAATGGATATAAAAAAAGATCAAGCGAGGTAAGCGGTATTTATTTTACCATTACTATAATTCTATTTATCATATGGTTATTAAGTTTAACTTCAAGCTCACGTGCATTACATATTTAAAAATGTATTCACTTTTATAATATTCATTTATTTACCTAAACATGTAATTATGAAATCGAAATGGACATATGATATGCTTACGTGTATATGTACATTAATGTTCACGTCTGGTGAAAGCAGTTTCCCGTGTTCGTGAAACTAATTAATATTTGTACCAGTTTTCAGGTCCTTGCACATAACTATGTAAAAACATGCATATATGTTTTATTAAAAAATATTTTATTGCACCCGTGTTTTTCAGGTACTCAAGAGCAGATTTGTTGGCACTTCGTTATGAAGGAAGTAGTCGCCAGCGCCCTCAATGTGCTCATCGAATTGAACTACAAACTTTACATTTTTGGAAAGTAAACGCTAGCGCCAATGCCTCCAGCAACTATGCAAATCCAAATAAAATTAGCCTTTCGCCCGAGACGGATAACTCCAGTTTGAGCAGCTCCAATAATGGATTAATAAGCTCGAGGCGAGCGATGCGAAATCGGGAGCGCGCTAATAACTATTATCAGCGCTTTGCGCCCAGCGATTCCCACTCAATGTGTATCGAGGACAAGGACAAAGATACACAATCTACGCAAAGCGTTCTAGGTGGTGCAACGTTGAAATCGTCTATCATTGATCATAGAAGCATATCTTCATCGCATTTAATGCCGGCATTTGCCAAACGACGTTTCGCTACAGTCAATTGCGGTAATGGTACGGAAAACAATGATCCGATAAGCAGCAATTCTGACGAAGTTTCAGTCGGAGAAAATGCAACTATAGGACTAGATCATGCCTCCACTCCTACACATAGCCAAAGCATGGGTAAAGGCATGAGTTCCCCCGTCAAGAAGGGCAGTGCATGGGTGGGGGAGAGCAGTGAAAGAAGTTCAAAAAATGTCCAACAAGATCATGACCAATCTCTGGCATCTTCACCAACGTTTTCGACGACTCGCCAGGAGAGGCGCATTGGAAGCGGCCGACTTTTGCCAAGAGCCGATAATTGGGAATTCAAAGGTCAACAAAACGCATCATCTGATATTGAGCAGAAGGAGAAGGAAAGATCTCAGAATGGAAATGGAAGTATTAACCAACAAAATCAGAGCCAGAACCATCAGCGCCCGCGGACATTTAGCGGAAGACATAGCGATCGAATTACTGAGAATATAGGAGATAGGCGTTTTCTATACGACAACAAAAGATCTGTCGACAGGCAAGGGATGAGCAGTCGCCGGTCATCAAACAAGGACTCTGGAGGTATCCATGGTCGGGGAAAGCGCTCAAGCATGTACCATCAGCATGACAGACACGAAGAACCCGAGTGGTTCAGCGCTGGTCCGACCTCCCAGCTGGAGACAATCGATTTGCATGGATTCGACGATCACGAACACAGCGTTGAGCGCTCGAAGCTTGATGACAAGTCGAATCGATTTCCGCCAGCTGAACCAACTGTGATCGACGGGTCCGCCTCAAGAAGCAGCAGTATATCCAGCCTGAGCATAATTGAAAGGAAGATCAAGGACGACATCAAAGACACTAATGAAAGTGAATCCAATTTCATTCAGCCTCCACTGGAACCGGCAAAACAAAACAAAAACTTTCAGCAACCAGGCCGTTTACCATGTACCTCAAACTCCGAGGGTGAATTCAACTTCGATGCTTTTCTGAACATGCACCCTTTGGACCCTACCCTTATGGTAAATATGACCATATCCTATAGTCTTTTCCATGTTGGCAATTAAATTAAACCGTTTCTTACGCGTCACAACTCTTATACCTGGTACTCAGTCATCTGTACCTTGTATTTTTATACCCGGTACTCGAAGAGTAGATAGGGTATATTGTATTGGTGGGGTACCCTACCCGGTACTTAGTACTACATCTGAACCTTAGCGGTTTTTTTTCCAATTGTAAATTTTTTCTCACACTTCTTACGACAAAACGATCTTTTAGCTCGCCTTGAAACTCTCTTGAGAGAATGTGGGTTTAGCCACTGCAAATTAATTTCTTCATTCTTTCTATAATAATGATAAAATATAATCTTAATTCGGCGATCTGATAGACATAGTCTATCGTTTAGTTGTTTTTTTTTCACATTCTCTCATTCACACTCTGCTTCTGCAGTGTGCGGCCTCTGCCTCTTGGGAAGGGAGGCGAGCTAAAGGAGCGTGTTGGCGTGAGAAGTCTTGTAGATGTAGATGACAGATGAAGAAAAAATGTAATGTAGTCGCTGGTCCCAATGACCACTTTTTTTCTAAATTAATAACTCGGGAACGAAATAAGATATTTTCATCCGTTTTTTTTAAGGAAAAATCAGTTTTGACTTTTTTTCTCAAAATGTTAGAAGCAAAAAAAATATTTAGCAGTGCAAGATTCTATAAACAAAAATCGTCGCACGAGTTAAAACAACTGAAAAATCCAAGACAATCGAATTTTTTGAAAGTTTTCATTATAAAACATGGATATCAAACTTTAGCCCAAACACAATTTTCTTCTATATTGTGTTCCAAACGCCAAAAAAACATTGAAATTTCTCATTTGAGGTTATGATCTATGAATGCAAATTGTAAGAGTTGTGGTCAAATGTGGCATTTCTGACTATATACATTTCAACAATCATTTATTGCTCTACGGCACACAATAGGTTTTAAGGAGGGACTAGGTAGCACTCTATTAAAAAACCTTTTTCATAAATTAGTCTTTACTACGAACTATCACATATGGAAGGACTCACTTAAACATACAATTACGAAGACATCGCCAACTACTAGATACTGTTCACATTACAAAACACGTAGTAAAAACCCTACTGATTAAAATGCATCAAAAAAATTGGATCAGTTAATCGTATTTTTCAATTTATGAGAAATTTAAAACAGCATATTTGTACTTTTTCACTGCAAATGCTGTGCAATAATGACCGCTAGGTTTCACAGCAGATATTGCGAAGGTGGCGCCATCTATAAAACTTTCTGGTACGCAACTTTGATGGTCAATCTTTTTCTAATACAGAACTCCAAAAACCGCGTCTTGGTTTTAACTTTTAAAAATTATCTTTTGGCCAACAAAAGTGGTCATTGGGAACATAGCGCGCTGCTTCGAGCAGTGTGCGGCTCTAGGGGAGGTGTGCGAGATACAAGAGCGTGTTGGCGTGAGAAGTGATGTAGATGTAGCTTTAGATGACACATGTAGAAAAAATGTAAAATATAATATGTAAAATATAATAATAGTAAAATTTTAAAATAACTTCTAAGGTACGGATGTACTACTATACCGGGTATAAAAGTTGTGACGCGTAAGAAGCGTCTTACACTTCCCTCCTTGTTTTTAAAGTGAACATAGTTGGTAGATTTAAGTTTTTAGAATCGTTAACTTAATGAGGAAAACATAGCGGAATCTATACATGTAAATCAACAAAAAACATATTAATTTTTTAAACCTTTCAGATCTGACTCTAAATTACTGATTACTTGTTTTTTTAATAAATGGCATTTATAGTTTTAACGAGAAGGGACGTGTGAGACACTTCTTACGCGTCACAACTTTTATTCCCAGTACTCAGTAGTACATCTGTGCCTTGTAGTTTTTATGCCCGGTACTCGAAGAGTAAATAGGGTATATTATATTTGTGCACAAAGTATGTAACACACAGAAGGAAACGTTTCCGACCCCATAAAGTATATATATTCTTGATCAACATCAATAGCCGCGTCGATTGAGCCATGTCTGTCTGTCCGTCCGTCCGTCCGTCTTGTTGAGCGCCTGGATCTCACAGACCATAAAAGCTAGAGCCACCAAATTTTGCGTCCAGACTTCTGTATGCTCACACTGTTACAAGTGTATTTAAAAAATGAGCCACGCCCCTTCCGCCCCCGCAAAAGGGCGATTACCTCCCAAACTCCCTTAAGGATAAAAGAAAACTAAAAACGCCATTCCGTAGGGAATGGCCTATCTATTAGTGTGGGCATACAGCCATCCGGATGCAACATTTGGAGACTCTAGCTTTTATGGTCTCTGAGATCTAGGCGCTCAACAGGACGGACGGACGGACAGAAATTACTATTTCGGCTCGGCTATTGATGCTTATCAAGAATATATTTACTTAATGGGGTCGGAAACGTTTCCTTCTCTGCCTTACATACATCCTATTTACTCTTTGAGTACCGGGTATAAAAATGTTCTAAATGTTTTGCAATTTACACTTCTTCAAGAACTCTTTCAGGACAACCAAAATGTATGCTGACGAGCAGTTCAGTAGCTATGTATGTATATACATTTGTCTGTATGCTTGTACATGTACATACTTGCATCAAAGGGAGCATAGGAGAAAGATTGGGGGTTTCTCTTACTCTACCAATATATTCTATAACCATAAAAAGAAATACATATGAACATATTTTAATTTTAAATTAACGTAGAGTAATGACGGCGTTGAACAGGATGAAACGAAAGGGACGTCCCGCTTTAGCAGGTGGTTTCGACCTAAAGAAGCTGCAAATAATAATGAGTCATCGGCACTTCGGGAGAAAGGATCACAAGAAACTCACGGTGAGTCTTCAACATACATACATTAAAATTATCGTTCGCTAAAACACTACATTTTTTATTTCAGATATACCCAGTGTTAAGGACTTGGAAGCACAAATGACTAAAGTGGACCTACGTTCCGAGTACACGACCCCAATATCAGTTGCCTATGGGGGTCAGCAAGCTCAAGTAGAAAAGCCGGTGGCCAGGGATACAGAGGCTTTCAGGAAGCTCCTGCAGCAATTGGGATCCCAAAGCAACCAGCATCAGTCGGGAAATGACGTTTATCATATGATAAATAGTTCGAATACTGCCAGTCAAAATGTAAATCGGCCTTATTTAATCGATCCCCAACAGAATATGTTTCGGGATCACAGTCCTCAAATGAAGGAAGATGACTTGGAGTTAATTCAACACCGCTTTAAGCATAATGACTGCATTCCAAAGAGGATAAATGAGGCCATGGTGCAGCAACATCTACACCACCACCCAATCCAGGGTGTCCACCCGTCAAATATGTTACTGGCACAGAAGCGAATGGAAGTTCATCATTTAATTCAAAGTAAGACAATTTAAATATATTTTGTTGTAATTATTGTGCACTTGCTTATTGGTAAATTGGCCTGATTTAAGGCGTTGGTCGAGGAGATGTTTCAGTTGAGTTTCTGGAGAAAGAGTTGGGCAACCCCAACACAGTGACTCACACAAAAGAAGTCATTGCAACCGTTCTTCGAGAATGCGCAAATAGCAGGAGAAATTCTCTAGCTTATAAGCAAGCACATCCGAACGAGATGGATCACCACAGCTTGGCTCACTTATCGTTTCATCAAGTTCAGCCGCAACATCAGACCTATTCTGAGGGTATGTAATGTCTATCTATTCCTGTATATTACTATTAATTCCCTATTGTTAAATTTGCAGATCTATTCCCACAAAGCTCGAACACCCATGGAATTAGTCAGCACATTCGGCACAGCAGTTCACCCACTCCACTTGCGTTTACGCCTACGTCTGTGCTACGGAAGATGACAGCTGATAAGGATACGCCTCACAATCAGGCACTCCAGCAATACCAAATGCACCCACAGAACACTAACACCAAGTTGCTTGCCCCAAATCCAATTGGAAACGAACCGCAGACAATGTCTGTTCAACCACGCATGATACTAGGTGGAGGAAACTATTCCATTAGTCCAAACAGCCCACAAATGTCCCCAAAACTGCAACAGTCTCGTAATCAGCAACCGATGAAGTGGGATCAAGGTGCGGTTCAATTGACACAAGGAAAATCATTTGGTAAATTTGGTGGAGTAGTTTGGAGTTTTGGACAGTCCATAAGCTAAGGAAGCCAACTTTTGCACACTTATTGTACTTTTAGGCCGTCCCATACTAAAGGGAAGTCTGAACACTGTTCCGCATCAACTGACGCAAGTGCCATTTGGATCTAGAGCAGAGCTACAACAGCATCATCACCAGCAAAGGTTTAAGCCTATACAGCCAACAGATGCAGTTTTAAACTCTGAAAATATGAATCAGAATATTCCATATTCTGACGGAATCTCGCAATTGCAACACCACCATTACCTGCAACTGCAGCAGCACTCACACCAACCACTCAGACACAGAGTAATTCACGGATCACAGATATCATCGTCAGTTACAGGTATAAAAGGGACTGTCTTTATGCTATATTTGTTGTTAACTTGCCTTATTTATATTTAGGTGGTGTCGACATCGGGGAATCTGGAAGCGTAATCAAAAGTAATTACCACAGAGACGATCGGTTGCCATCACCAACAAATAATCAATTGACTCAGTGGTTTTCTCCAGAGCTTCTTGCCAGAGCTTCTGCCGGAAAATTGCCACTTTTAAATATGTATCAAACCCTTACTTTGGAAGAATTTGAGAGAAGCATGCAACATTCCTCGGCCGTAGTGCACAACTAGGCGTGCAACGTAATGTAGCTCAACCCTAAGTGCAGAGATGCAAAAGAACGCATTGCCTTCAAGCACATCCAGTGGAAGGGTTTAATCATAATTTTTTCTTTTATTTATATCTTATGTTTACGTATACTTTTGTGTATAGTGACACAGTGTCGAGGACAAGTCCTATTCCGTCACCAAAATAATTCCTTAATTTTCGGGTACACGTACACTCTGGTGACATCATATAAATTATAGAAATAAAAAACTGTTTAAAGTAGTTCTTGATTATAGTTAATCGTATTGTAAAATATATTTTACTGTAAATAATATACATAATTAATTATTTGAAACTATGAAATACTGATTTGAACTTAAACAAAATAAACAAAGCAAGAATAGGGTCTCAAATGCACTGAAATAGACTCATTCGGCGCAAAGTATTCGTCTTTAATTCTGTAAATTATGTACTTAGGCTGAGCCAACATTTGTATACCTTTTTTTTTAATCTTGCTCTCTCTCCCTCTCTCTTCTCTTCTGGATAGGTAAAAAACTACATAATTGATTTCAAATTGTAAGTTTAATGTGTGGGGAACCGTCGGTCAGCACATAGAAAGATGTTTTTATTATACCCGGTAAATAGTGAATATTGTATTTGCACAGAAGGAAACGTTTCCGACCCCAAGAAGTATAAATATTCTTGATCAGCATCAATAGCCGAGTCGATAGAGCAATGTCTGTATGTCCGCCGTCTTGTTGAGCGCCTGGATCTCAGAGACTATAAAGGCTAGATCCACCAAATTTTGCGTCCAGACTTCTGTATGCTCACACTGTTACAAGAGAATTTCAAAAATGAGCCAAGCCCCCTTCCGCCACCGCAAAAGGCGAGAAACCTCCCAAATCTACAATTTTGAAGATAAAAGAAAACTAAAAACGCCATTCCTTAGGGAATGACCATATCTATCAGATCATCAAAGTGGGTGATCTATCTATCAGATCACCAAATTGGGTGATCCGATTGGATCATGATTATAACCAGAATGAGGAAATTAATTTGCAGTGGCTAAACCCACCCCGTCCATCAGCTTATATTTGTTTTTCCACATTCTCTCATTCACACTCTGCTTCTGCAGTATGCCGGCTCTGCCTCTGACACGTCTCTGCCCTGACTCTGCAGTGTTGGGCTCTAGGGGAGGGTGGCGAGCTAAAAGAGTGTGTTGGAGTAAGAAGTGTTGTAGATGTAGATGACATAAGTAGAAAAATGTAAAATTTGAAGAAAAAAACCGCTAAGGTACAGATGTAGTACTGAGTACCGGGTATAAAAGATCCTGGGACGCTTAAGAAGCGACTCACTCGTATCTTCTCGTTTTATCTTGATATTTAGGAATCATAAAACATAAGTCGCATTTAAATAATTTACCCAACAAAAATTACATTCATGGAAAAATTCGGGCTTCTTACTCATAGTGGATTGGTAAAAGTCTGGAAGTTCAGATAAGGTTAATAATTTTTGTTTAATTGAATGATGGTTATATTAAGGTTATCGAACTAAATGCATTTCGGTAACAACCTCAACAAATTTAAAAATAAAAGCATCAATACTGCAATCTTACAAAGGACAATCAAATGAGGTTTTATTTAAAGTTACAAAAATATATCCTTTGGCTCAGCCAAATGTACATATGTATGTGTATGTACAATTACACCGATATGCTTTTACTCTGGTTTGTTTTTTTCCGTACAGAAGGTAGCAGCTTAGACCAAAGTGCATACATTATGCAAACTCTAGATCAGAACTGGCCGTCAACTACGGCCAGGTCACTCCGGCAACTGCTATTAAATGAAATATGAAAAATGAGATGAAAGGGCGCTGGATGATATCAATGCTATGCTCCCAAGCATTAAAGATTTTTAAAGGGCGTTTTTATTACAGTCCTTAGGGTGGATTTGATTTTTCACAGTGATTACTGATTTATTAGTCCCTTCTTAATTATTCGAATGTACATTATTTTCTGCGTCGAGCGTCTTGCACCAGCAATCCAACAATCATTCTATGGTGCAATGTTGGTATTTGAATGTCCTAATTGGAGTATCTTCAAACAGGTTGTCCGAGCATATACATACATATGTAAAACCCTCTTAAAGGGTATATGTATTTAGAGATAAATAGTTGTATAACATACATATTTAAGTAGTAAGTGAAACAAATCATGTACTAGTTTTGTATGTAAATATGTTATTCCGCTTTGCAATATTTACGAGTTTGTATGCATTTGATTTTCTGTATCTTAACATACATATGTATGTATATTATATATGTTTATAGGTGTATTTACCAGGCTTGTCACTTTTCAAAATCGATATTACTGCGTTGCAGAATGGTGCGACGTTGATCTACAACGAAACTTTGTAATTACTTTAAAATAATTGTCTTGCTAAATTAAGCAATTCTTTATAACGGATCGACTAGGACTCAGGCCATTAAGGATCTTGAGCCTAATTGGGCTTCAAAGCATACAAATGTACACAAATGTTTATTCATTTAGCGAGATAGCCAAAGCCTACTAATTTGTTCTTACAAATATTTTGAGATCAATAACACTCTTGTACAGATAATAATCAGAGGATTAACATATGTTTGTCATAATAAAATATAATCAATATTAATAATAATAGGTAATAGGTTCATAAAAACTTAATTAAAACAAGTTCCGCGGTAACAAGAATCTTACATTTCATTGGTATTTTGACTAGTTTGACTAGCTGCATGGGTCACGGAGGCCCCTTCAGTGTTTGGTATGATATTTCTGAAAAAATATGCATGAGTTTTCTGATTTATAGATGAAGAAGCTATTCCAAATTTAAAATTCTTCCAGCGAAAGCTGTATATTTTAATTGTTTAGTTCGGCTATCAGTACGGATATTTTAATTTATAAATCGACCAATAAATCCACGAATCCACAACTGGAGTTTTAGTCCTTAACATGGATACAGGATGGCTCAGAGTAGTCGCATTCCCTGCGTTCTGGAACTGGATCGTAATTTGGGATGGTGTTTCCACTGCCTCTGTGAACAGTGTCCCCTTGGCTTTCATCCAAGTTCAGATCCTGCCTTGGGCTTTTTTGCGATGGCCGGTCACTTGTCGACGCCGATGGCGCTGGTATTCCAGGAGTGGTACAGCAGCTGGGGTGCCCAGGTGCGGCCGATCGTCTATATACGGTGCTATTCATTGTCAGCTTGCGCACGTTTTTGTCCGGATGGAAGACGAGGATGTATACCTTTGGTGAGTACAGACATACTAGTGCCACTGAAGCACTAAGACTTATAGAAATGCACAAGGTGGTGATTTGTATCTGAAACAATCAAATGAATGTCACATCTTTGATTTTAATTTAAAGATGTAAAGAAAATTTTTGTACACATTTGTTTTCCCGTAACCACCCAGTTCACTTTTTAAACCTGGTGGTCGAAGGATATAAGGGGTATATTCAATTTTTGCTCGAAAATAGATGTACGTGAAGCACGGCGGCAAATTTTTCCGACCCCATAAAGTATATACATACATATGTATGTACATATATTCTTCATCACAATAATAAACCGAGTCATTATAACCATTTCTGTTTGTCGGTCTTGATGAGAGCTTGGATTCCAGAGACAATGAAAGTTAAAGAAATTAAATTTTGCATTCAGACTGCTGTGATATCGCACTGTTACAAAAGTTAATTTGCTACCCTCCTTGGCTACCCTCCACCCCTGCCACACGATGACAGCTGCTCATTCTCTCTCTCTAGCACACCCTGATTCATGCAGTGTTTGGCTCTGTCTGTGGGGGCTAGCTAAAAGGGAGTGTTGAGATAAAAGTTAAAATACGAAGGGAAATTCTCAGTCGCGTCCAAACGCGTCACTACTATTATACCCTAATGCCGTAGATTTGTTGATTTAGATCTTGTAGCCAGACTGACATACACAGACTTAGCTATTGATGCTGATCAAGAATATATTGTACGTATGTATATACTAATGAGGTAGGAAACGTTTTCTTCTTTACGTTGCAAAATCACTTCGACCACGAATATCATATACTCCTTAACTCTCCGAGTACCGACAGACAAAACGATATACGAATCGAAACAATCTGAAATCGAGTAGAGTCCATGCCTTCACGTAAAATACTAGATGAATAAATCATTGTATACTGATCAAGATTCATACAATTAAACGCAATAACAGAACAATTGTGTGTCCTAATCAAAACACTTTTGGATTGTTTATTTTGTTTATTATTTTGTTTACTTACTTTAATAATACTTTACTTTTTCTTGAGAAACACGGTTAGCAAATACATACCTCGTAAGAGTTTCCAGTACCGAAGTAAATTGGAACAAAGGCCAGCCAAATAATGCAAGTGGTATACATGGTGAATCCAATAAACTTTGATTCGTTGAAATTTTCGGGTATTTTTCGGGTTTTAATTGCATACACGGTGCAGATTGTTATCAGAATCATATTGTACAGCTGGGAAAATAGAAAGGACATATCCTGTATTTTGCATTTCAGTATTACCTCCGTCCTGTCTGGGTAGTAGAAGCGTGTTCCAGGCGGCTCCACTACCATCCATATCATTGTGATCAGTATCTGTATTGCTGCACACAAAAATATCAAATTATTTGTATAGTGTTAGCCTATGCCTTTACAAACACGAGTACATATGTACGTGTGTGCATGTACTCTTCTTACCTATTAACGATGCCGTTATGACTACCTGTGACTGTGGACTGATGTAATTGAGGCGCTGGGCTGACTTAGAAGCAGAGTGGAAAATGCGTGAAATACGATTGGTTTTTGTTAGCAGTGCGCTATAAATAATAGAAAACCCAACGCCGATACCAAATCGCTGAAGAACGCAGGAGCCAATTGTTGGCTTAGCGACCAGAGCAAAGGTGTTGCAGTAACACACCAAAATACCGAAGAGAAGTGTGTAACTAAGCTCCCGACCTGACGCCCTGACCAGGGGCGTATCGTGGTTTTTGGCAAACAAAACTATCACAATGATGGTAACTGCAATTCCGAATATGGCAATGGCCATGGGAATGAGGGCGAACAGGGAGTTCCATCGCATGTACTGAATGTCCAAAGGAAAGCACGAAAGTTTATCGGGGTATGGCCAGAGTCCTGGGCCGCAGTCTTTGCATGTAAAGTCATCGTACACGTACTCATATGACTCACAGCTGTCGCATATCCAGCAACAAGTATCTCCCTAAAAATTGATTTTCAACATTTTGAAAGCCTGAGTTAAATTGTATAGGTGGTCATACCTGTTGTTTTTTTATCATTCCAACCTCACATGGCAAGGAACAGGCTGAGGTTGGTTGATCAGCCGCCTTATTCCATACAACAGTTTGCGAATTCAGTTGCAGACTATTAAACCATTTGCCGATAACCTGCAATGTTACATATTTTTGATTATTTTATCATTGCGGTGGAACCAATATCAAGATGATGGGACGAAGGACACGTATCAATGGCTATGGATACCTTATAGTGATATCCTGAAGAGTTCTCAAGACGTTGATAATTTAAAATGTCGTATCTGGCCAGTCCGTCACCTTGGCGATCAAACTTCACTTCGCTGCCTGCCAGATCTTCGCAGACGAAATGAGATATTGAAAGAAACGGAAAAGGGCATATTTTTAATTAGTTGTAAATTACAAAAAAAATCAAATTTGAAATTTGCAAGTAGAAATACGACATAAAATACTCCACCTATAAATGACACGTTCAGCAGGTAATTGTTATAGAAATCCTTTCCGTCATAGCTGGCCATTTCGGGACATGCCTGGGACTTACTGTCAATCGGCTTCCTATACCATACAGTTTCACTGTGTTGATGCTTTTGCTGCTCGGCATTTTGATCGTTTTGTGTATTACAACGGTCGTTATGTAGATTATGCAGTGCATACGCGAATGCATACACTGCATCTACAACGAACTGCGTCTTTGACTCCTGCTCGTATCTGAAACGAAATTTTAAACAGATTTACACATCGGTAATACCACAAAACTCCATTATATAAAAGATTTTCACGTATTTCGGATCTTTTGACTCAAAACCATGAATCTATGCGAACAACTTCACAGTTTTTGATTTATTTAGCTGTATCCGTGGAGATTGTAGATACACTTGGTCATTAACCAAGAGAATATTGAAGTTTCGTATATCATTTGTTCCTGGTGGGAAATGACTCCGCTTAATTCCCGACGTTTGTAAGATTGGAATCTTAAATCCTCTGGAGTTCTGTCAAATTCGAAAAATACTTGAGTGTCTGTTAAGACATCTGTAACTCGAACCTCGTGAAAAAAAATTATGCTATAGTTGGGAATAGAGTCTCTCTCTTTATCTCTCATTGATGGTACCATGGCACTTCTCACTGGAACTTTTCAACAAGAAATGGATTCCATGACATCGATGTAGCTAATGTTGCTATTTGGGATTATAAGTCACCTGGATCTACCACTTACCCAACTTTCTCGGACAGCCGTAAGCTTCCGTCACAAAATTGCTTCGTCTTTGCTTCGGGCTGGGTCTGCATAGCGCTTGCATTTATACCGGGTGCATTTAGACCTGTCGCTTGTGTCAACAAGCAATTGAATGTGTCCTCCCAGTACTCAGCAAACCAGGGATTGCGCTGATTCGTCCTTGGTGTAAGCTGCATCATATAGCGATCGAAGTCCTCGATGATCTCCGACTGCAGCTCTACGGTAATAGCACCCTCTGCTATTTCCTCCAAGCCCTCCAAAAGCTTCTGCTGCTTTCCCCAACCGTCACTAGCAATCCAATGAAACTGCTGCGTCAATTTGGCCCGCTTCGCTGCTTGCAAAATGCCGCGCGCATCTTCAGCCCGTGTAAAAAGCACAACACCGCGAGCGTTCGGCTTTTTCTGCAGCTTACTGATAATGGAGTCGAAGACCTTGTCATCTGCAGCACTGGGCACCTTTTCAGCAGCAGCTATGCACACGTGCCGCTCAGTTGCTTCCTTATGAAACGCTTCTATACCGTATTCCCCTGTGAAAAACAAGAGTCGAAAATTTGAGGTAGGCAATTTTATCGGATGCATTTTTCAGTTACCGTAAGAGCCTTCTGAATGAATTGTAGATACATAGGACCAATTAAAGTTCTTGATTATATCAACGAGTGCGACGGATTGAAAGGTATCTGGCGGCACAGTTCGGGCAAACAGATCGAAGCGTGATTTGTCTGACAGCGTTTTAGCGGTCGATGCAGGCGAGATTTGGGGAATATGAAAAAGGCGCAGCAGATTGGCTACTTGCAATGACACTGAGCTGTAGGAGCCGCCAATTACCCCAAAAACGGGACCCGACGAGGCATTTTTTCTCAGATGCGGGCTAGATGTGTCTGAACATTCAAAAACAGAGGTATCCAAGTTGTTAAGCGAGGCACGCACAAATTGCAGCGATTGGTTCAGAGCATAGGTGTCTCTGGAGCAGGTATCCAGTATGTGAACCCCGAGAGTTATACCCGGAAGTATGTTGGTATCATTATTTACACGATCTATTGCATACAGCATAGCCTCCAGGCGTTGCACTCCCCTGTTGTACACTTTTGGTCCACATGGAGCACCATCACCCTTCTCATGAACAGGGAACAGACCGCCAAGTATAATGTCTCCCGGCAGCGAAACAGACACTGTGTCCTGGGCGTGAGTGGTGCTTGGGCCCTTAAGCTGTGCCCCTGGACTCCAAGACAAGATCACCAAGGCAACGAGAGTTATATTACTTGTCCGTTTGACAAGTACACTATTCTCCTGTCGCATCTTTACAAATGACCCTTTGCAGAGAGTGTATGTTAGTTTCCTTTCATAAACTATGATGCACCTGAGCTCTATCTTTTACCATAGCGGCTAACCAAAGATCGATTTTACCATTAGAAATTGCTGAAAGTACAAATATTTCCAAAATGTAATCAAATTTATGAACATAAAGTACATGTACATAGTTTTTTAAATGGCAATTTAAACGAGAAGGGACGTGACCTGAACCTTAGCGGGTTTTTGTCAAATTTTACATTTTTTCTTCATCTGTCATCTACATCTACAACACTACTCACGCCAACACGCTCCTTAAGCTCGCCCCCTTCCCTAGAGCGGCACACTGCAGAGTCACTGCAGAGGCAGAGGCCGTACACTGCAGAAGCAGAGTGTGTATGAGAGGTCAGGCGTGGTCAGAAGGGTGCGGGGCTTATTTTTTAAATACACTTGTAACAGTGTGAGCATGCAGACACCTGGATGCAAAATTTGGTGGCTCTAGCTTTTCTAGTCTCTGAGATCCAGGCGATCAACAAGACGGACGGACAGGCAGACTTGGCAGAAGCGTATCCTTCTGTGCGTTACATATAACCGTTATTCGCACAAGTAAAATATTCCCTATTTACTCTTCGATTACCGGGTATACAAAAACGAGGAGGAACGTTATGAGACGCGTCGTACATTAACATCACATCTCACACCAACATGTGCTTTTAGCTGGCCCCTTTAATTTCTTCATTCTTAATATAATAATGATCTAATCTGATCCTTTATTCAGGGATCTGATAGACCTGTTCATTCTCTACGGAACTGCGATTTAAGTAATCTTCTCTTAGCTTCGCACTTTGTGTATACATACATATGTATATATGTACATACATATGTATATACTTTAAGTATGTAAACTTTGGAAACTTTTCCCACTGAGTGTTAAATTTTTCGACCACAAATACAATACACCCTATTTACTCTTCGAGTACCGGGAATAAGAAACTCGTATTCAACTGATGGTGTCAGTATGGTAGATTGTATCGAAAATATACGTTTTGTTAACGGGACTTGATAGTCGCAGATACTCGGACTCCATCACAAGAGTATGAGCATGAAGCAATTTAACAATTGCTGCATGAGTATGAGCCTGCATTTGTGTAATCTGCCACCGAATGACCTCGACTGTGGTCAAGCAGACCTACTTATAAAAGTACATATAAGCATAATAGGATGGTTTTTGATTCAACTATGTACATATATGGTTCATAAGTAAATGAGTACTCAAATTATACTGCAGCATTTACTGACAAAACCTGCTCTCTCCCGGCTCTGTTTCTGGGAATTTTAATCAAGAATATATTCGAGCGTACACATTTCGCATACACTTAATTATGTTTATATGTATGTCTATACTTATACCTTTAACCGTTTTTTATAACCGGAAAGAAAACGTAAAAAGAATATTCTTGATCATCATGAATAGCCCAGTCGATATAGCCATGTCTACCTGTCTGTCCGTCGGTCTGCCTAGTAAACAGAAATTATAAGAGCTAACGCAACCAAGTTTTGCATCAAGCCTTCCATGCTCACACTGTTACAAGTATATTTCAAATTAGCCCCACAAAGGGCGAATATCTCTAACATCCACAATTTTGAATATAAAACAAAAAAGACTTAACCGTTCCGTAAAGAATGGACACATTTATCAGCTCTCCGAATTAAGATCGGCTCAGATCATAATTATAGAACCTTTGCTGATACTTGTTTTTTTGTTTCCATTCTTTCTCGTTCGCACACTCTGCCTCATGCAGTGTGCGGCTCTGGGGGAGGGTAGCGACCCAAAAGGGCGTGTTGGTGTGAGAAAAGATGATGATGTACATAGATGACAGATGTAGAAAAAGGAAAATGTGAAATTCGAAAAATTCAAACGGTTACGTATGTACATATTTATCACACTAAGGTTACATGCAAACATTTAATTTCTTAGTTGGAAACCAATTGGAGAAAGTTGCATCTGAGTTTAGATGGTAGTATCTTTACATACATATACATATGTACATGTGTATGTAAATATGTAGATACAATAAAAAGTCATTTTTAATCATGCATCATTTGCCACTGTTAAAGTGAAGGCTTCTTTTTGAGCTTGTAAATTTGGCCAAGAAGAGCGGGAAATGCTTACTTTAGTAAATAAAGAGAGGATAATCAAAAACAGATTGATGGAAAGAGAGCCAAGAACTAAGAGACACCTTTTACACCCCCAAGTGTGTGTTTGTATAAGTGTAAAAGGCGACCCAGGGAAAGCTTTGAATGCAAGAACTTAAAGAAGTACCAACAACAGCAAGAATGGTACAATTGAGGATGGACAAGATGAAATTTGTAAGTAAAAACACCCGCACAGCACTAGGTCCTATCTATTAATACAAACAAATATCCGTTAAAACACATACATACATAAGTATGTAGATGGTGTTAAAGGTATCGTATGCGCAGCAAATTGGGACCTATTGAAAAAATTGGGCACTCCAACTAAGAATGAGTCCATGTACATATGTACATACATATATACTTACATATGTATATTTGATATGATTAATTTTTCTTTCTATTACATTATTATACTAATAAGAGACTTACTCTATTAGAAACTCCTTTTTAACTCTTTTTTAAATATAATAGATTAATATTATGTTTTATACATACATATGTACATCTGTATGCATAAATGTACAAACATGCATGCATACATATGTGCATATTTTTTTATCAACCAATACGGAAAAAAACACTATTTTTATTAATTACTTGAGGCACAATTTATTTCAAAACACTAAGCATTCACTTTTCTTAAGTTGTAACAGACGTTAAGAGCGAACCAGGCGTAGCTCTATTCTTTTCATTACCAGTAGTTAAACTGATTTACACATGATAAGCCAAAACAAAATCAGTTCTTGTATGACCAGCAGCACCAGCACAAAACCAACAAAGCAGCATCCGCAGCGTTGGTTCCAAGGAAAAGAACAACAGTAGAAGCAGCAGACATCTACACCATCATCATGGCCTCTTTTCCTTCTAGTAGCCCAACTCTCCAAGCATTTTTCAGGAGCAAAAGCACCGTCAGTAGCATCATGAAGAGAAAACAGCCTTCTCTTTCTGATGTTGAAAATAACAGTACCTTAAGAGACCGTTGTGACACTGTGATTTTGCGCGCTGTGAAATTCATTCTCTTTCACAGCTTCTGAACTTGAGCGAAAGCTCCTGGCTTATGTGTATTTTGATGGTACTTGAGAGCATGCATGCATTGTAATAGTTGAAATCAATCCCAGTTGTTTCCTCCTCAATTTTCTCATTGTAAAACTGTTTAGAAATGGAGGCAGGAAATATTATGCGAGTGATGTCTACAGAAGGAAAGATATAATCCCCTTACCCTGTGATAAAAAGCCACACATGTCCAATTGCTACTCCTGCGGTTCTTGCTGCTGCTGCTGTTCGATCGGAATTTCAGTCGAGTCGCTGTTCAAAGTTCATTAGAATCTCATAACTATGCTTGATGGGCAAAAAAATCGAACTGTTTACATTGCATATACGCAGATCTCAGCGCTATAGAGGAATGCCGCACTGGGGGCCAATGCTTGTTCATCTGCTGCTCCACCACCGCATCGATGTAGCCTCGTAGTTTTATTGCCGAGATGATACGCTTCTTGTGGGGTACCATGCTTAGAATTAGGGAATTTCTTTGCTAAAATTATGTCACCACGTGAATTTACTAATATGGATGAGCAGATAATACTTAGAGTAAATCCCCTTGGTCTTTTAGTAACGAGCTTACAGTAAGTCACAATGTAAGATTTACTGACTCTGTGCCTTTCAACCTAAGTGAAGTTGTGTCAGTATTGTACTTATTATACCTGGTAGTCGAAGAGTTTATGTATATGTACAGATGTATTAGTTCTTTGTTCGAAGTGGTAGTGGAGCATGAAGTAACTGTAAGGAGGTCTCGTCGGCGGCAGCCTCGTCTTATTTCAAAAAATTTGCTTGCCGACGCGTAAGGTTGGGCGCTCATTATATTGCACTATGGGGCATTTGACCACTTTTCCTGGTCGAAACTTATATGTCAAAATATTTGTTTAACAGATATACATAGGAATAACATCAGTCCGCAATGTTCCGTACCCAAAAAGTTAACAGTGCGCCCACTGTTAAGATAACAGCTGCTAAAGTCAGCTGTTTGCTACGAACGATAGAAAGTTATCGGAAAACTGATTTTGTTCATGAAGTTTAAAGTGCAAAAATTGCTAAATTTGCCAATTTATGTTATTTTTTCTTGCACTTTTCTGCGTCTTCGCAGATATTAGAGTTTTCGTAACATAACCTAAAGTTTGGATTTTCGGAGTTGTTTGCAATGTTAAACTGAGTGAAAAAGTGAATTTAAGTGTTAATACCTGTCACTAGCCTTGAGAACGATAAGGGTTATTTTTAGACCTTTTGAAGAACTTTTTTTTAGAGTTTTTCGATTCAATTGAACATTTTCACGGAATATGCAGATGATAGATGCAGAAAAAATGTATGTAAATCGAAAATAAACAATAAGGTTAGTTACAGATATACTGACTGAGTACCGGGTATAAAGGTTGTGACGCGTAAGAAGTGCCTCACACGTCCCATCTGGTTCCTTTTCCAAATGGTTTTGTAGTTTTATGTGTGCGGTGAACCATACATACATGTATAAATACATACATGACGTATTTGTTTACATGGGGGAGACAGCCAACTAAAGTAGAATAGTTTTCATACCCGGTACTCGAAGAGTAAATAGGGTATATTGTATTTGTGTGCGTGTATGTAACGCACAGAAGGAAACGTTTCCGACCCCACAAAGTATATATATTATTGATCAGCATCAATAGACGAGTCGATAAAGCCATGTCTGTCTGTCCGTCTTGTTTGTCGGCTAGTTCTCAGAGACTATAAGAGCTAGAGCCACCAAATGTTGCATCCAGACTGCTATATGCTCACACTGAAACCAGTGTATTTCAAAACTGAGCCACGCCCCCTTTCCGCCCCCGCAAAAGGGCGAAAACGTCCCAAATCTACAATTTTGAAGATAAAAGAAAACTAAACGCCATTCCATAGGAAATTGCCATATCTATCAGATCACCAAATTGGGATCCGATCGGATCATTATTATAGCCACAATGGAGAAATATATAAGAGAATATATATATATATATATATATTTGGATATATTTGGATATATATATATATGGAGAATTATATAAAGCATATAAAGGTCACACAAAATACATTTATTTTGATATTGAGGGGCAAGCTTCTTCATAAAGTCTTGAGGGTTTTCATTTTGAATGGTTTGTGAGCTCAAGGTTTCAAGCGCTAACAATTAAAGCGCACATAAAGTCGAGAACATAACCGACGACGAGAACAGAAATTGGAAAGATGTATGTACTTACATATACATATGTGTTTACATATATGCATATATACATATATATGTTTTTATATTTATCTGAAAAGTTTTATCTGTAAAAATGGATTTGGTAACAATGTTGATAATATGCCAGCAACGAAGTCGAAAAGCAACGGCGTTTCCATAATATGCATACAATTTTAATAAAGCAGTATAATAAAATCGGAATTTAAAACAATTACAGCATTCAAATACAATAACAACTTTTATTGGTATATTTATTTTTTCCAACCCGCAAGGGTCCGGCCACCAACCCCCACCCTCATTCTGCACATGTTGCCGCAGGTCAGGTTCATACGCCAAGCCCCGAAAACAAAATCAAATCATCAAAACGAATTTTCGTTCCATCGCAGTTCAGAAAGTCCGCACACCAACACATACATTACTTGCAGTGTCCGTGTGAATCAAGACAAAACCGGTTTGGAGCGCTAAAAAATCATTGGCTACACGCACTTATGCAAATGTAGCTGGGACTTCTAGCTGCTTGTTCTACACTCACTAATCCTTGTAGCTGGGACTTTGGCAGAAGCTTGGGACTTCGAGACGCACATTGAGCGGTGACGTTTCGCTTTTAGGAAGCTGAGAGTCCACTACACTATTTGGTTAGTGCTGGTACTCAGATCGAAAAAAAACTTGCTAACAAAATGTGCAATATATTCAGCTAGCAGCAGAGTGTGACCAGAGGTGAAACCCGCATTCAGTACGGTCACACTTCTCAGGGAGCTGTGTTGTTTTGTTTATCTCTTTGAAAATGTGTGAAAATTGAGTAAAAGGTTAATAACAATTAATGCAAAATGGATCCATGCAAGAGATTATTTAAGTGTGACTGGGGGCTCTTGCCTGATCGGTGGAGGAGGACAATCAACGAAATATGCGACGGAAACTTTGATTAAACCCATATCTGCAGGAAAGAAACCAGAGCGATCGTTTGTCTATACATTTGAGTATTATAACTCATATAAATATGTGCTTATTTATGGAAATCCATGAAACGATACCCTTTTCATATTCCGCAGTTTCAAAATATTACAGAGAATTTGCATTTGGCTGGGAATAACATTTGCAGACTTTTTTGATTGGTGGATCAGCAAGGATGTGCCAAGGAATATTTGCGCCCGTTGCAAAGTTGTAAAACGGCGCCTCCAAGTACCCTTCCTAGTCAAAACTGGGTAGTTTTGAGTCCAAATCGCCGCCTTCGCCCCTTGGCACGACCCTGTGGAGCAGTACTTGGTCCCAAAAGGAAAACAACTTAAAACATTTTGTTAACAGCCCAGCCGGGTCTGTGTCATGGCAACATGAAGATACTGGCGTTCAAATAAGTTAAACAAATTAGAAATGCAAATAAATTCAATATAAGCTCATTAATCTATAATAATTGTTATTTTTTTTGCAGTTTGATGGCTTGAAGCTCGTTTAGAAGGACGGTGGTCATTTGTCTTTCAACTTCAGTGGCATTGTTGCATCTGTTTGATTGAGACTATACTCTCCGTTTGCTTGGAACCCTCTCGGAAATTAAAACAGATCTGTATTTTTCGAGCTGCTAGCAGCATACCAACGAATACCACACAAATACTATGAATACCACACAAATACCATCGATACCACAAAATACTATCGTCTGGTTTTTTACATTATTTCGGCGTGTTTATTTTGTCGATCGGAGTAGAAAGTAACTTGTGCGCACAAAAATTTCTTATCGGTTTCATACGAATATCATCCCTGATATTTTTAGCGGCCCTTTTTTTTCGATCTAAGTACCAGGCTATATCTGAAATATATCTCGATATCTCGATAACCTGCATCTCTGCACACTATTAAAATAAAGTTTTTCTCGGTATATTTTGAAAATATGAAGGTATATTTTGGAATATTTCTGAGGGTCAGGTGGTATAGGTTATCGATAGATCCGCGGTCACACTGAACAGAACACATTGCATGTGGAAATTATAAAAGAAAAGTAGATTTTGGATTAAAAAACAACTAGAAATAGAATATTGTTTATAACTGTTCAATAATACACTTTGGGTAGACCCTTTTGTTTATTGTAAATAATTGCTTTGTTTCGGAACGTGCATATGCGCCAGGTAAATTAAAGGGTAAGACGAGGACTTGCCAACTAAAATTACATGACAATTTAAGCCAAGTCGACGTTTTCGGGTATTTAAAAACATCCTCTTGATGTAATCCTCTTAATCCGGTTCATTTTGTTAAAAGATATTTTCCTTTTTACAGTTAAATATATTAATAAAGACAAATGCACGTTTTTTTTTAATAGTGTGCCTTTGTAAGAGCTTCGCTCTCATTCTTGCTCATTGACGTGCGTCTCATCACCAAACGGCAACGTCGGCAATATTTAGAGCTAAAACGTAAAGATTTTAGACAAGAACTTTAGTGAAGTTAACTATTTGTGTATATATCTTCGTATATGGATGTACTTTTCAACACCTAAAATTTGCTTAAGTTAAGCCCTTCGTATAGATATGTATCTGTGTGTGTACATATGTACACATGTACGTATGTAAAAAAACATCTCTGAACTCTTGGTTACTTTATAGTTAAATAGTCTTTTTTTAGTTTAATCTTGCAGATTAAAAATTTCTGGAAGTAATATCTTGATCCATTTACAGGTAAGAAGGACACAGCAGTGTAAAAAAATAAATTGATCGCTCGAATTTTAATTTGATGTACTAATAATTCTGCCTGAGTCAGATGGTTGTGTGACGACCTATTGCAGTGGGCCCGAGATCGCCACAGAAATCGTCAATACAGCTGCTAGATTTACCGTTTGGCGATTTCAATCATACATATAGGATTGTTCGTAATGCAACAAGCTACGCCAAATTTATCAACACAATCCGATATAGCTAAAGCCATGCAGCCTCATTCAGCACAAAATATGGTAAGTGAAACCTTAAGTGGACCCACAAAAACACTTTACTGCAGTATAAAGAACTAGAGATAAATAATTAAATTTCCAGCTTTTATGCAACATTGACTTTGAATAACGTTGACTGTGGCACAATATTTCTAAATTCGAAATCTTGAAAATGGATAAGCTTTATTAATACTCTGTTTTACTTATATTATTTATCTTATCTCAATCTGTGGGGTTTTTCTATAAATGAACGTCCTACGAAAAGTTGTAGCTACGCTTGTGTATGTACAGTTGCGGAGAAAATAGCACTGTGTGGTACAAAAGTCTTTACTTTGTCAAAAAAATGGTTCTATACAACATTTTTTGCACTTTGCTGTAATATAAAGTATGTTGAAATGTCAGCTATCTTAGAAAAGTCTACTTACTCTCAAAATGTTGGCTGTTCTCAATAATTTAGGATATTTTTCGAAACAAGCGAAATAGAAAGACAACAAAAGTTGCACTAAAAATTGTATTCTATAAAAACATTTCCGAGCCTTGTGAAATATTATGTTTTTAATTAATATAACAATCGGTTTCTTGAGTCGTTTTTAAACAGACGGCTACAAAATATTAGAGTATTACGGATCGTTGAAAGCACTTTTGGGGAATAAAAAAACCAAAGGTCAAAACTTTAGCTCCAGAAGAAGAAACCTATCCTTATGTGAGAAAAATAGTCGGTTCCCGAACTAAAATGATTCGTAATTGTTGTTTCAAATTGCAAAATTGTTGCAAAAACTTTAGATCTTA